TTTAATTATTTTATTCGTATTAATTGTATCACCAGTATTACCAGTATCACCAGTATCACCAGTATCACCAGTTTCACTAGTTTCACCAGTTTTACTAGTATCACCAGTATCACCAGTTTCACCAAATAACTTTTTAAGTTTTACCAGTTTCACCAGTTTCACCAGTTTCAACTAGTGAAATTAATTAGTTTCACCTGCAACTCTAATTTACACTTCTGCACTTCTGCACTTTGGTAAAAAAAATTGGGAACATGTTTGTTATAAGTATACCAGTAATAATGAAGTGTATAATGGTTATTCTAAATTTGTAGATCCAGCTTAAATATAACGTGTAAAATTATTACTGTACTTGTATACCCAAATATATCTTTCAACAAGTTATTAATAATCTAATCCCGAATATAGAAAATATGCGATAGTTGATTTGTTATATCCTATAATTGTGGTGCTGAATTTAGTAAATATTTTAATTATTTGTTATGTAGTATTAAATTATCGTAATGCTGAATCATTTGTATCATATATACTGCTTCATGTCAAATAGTTATGTACTAAATAAAAATAAGTTGTGATTTATGCGAAGCATAAGCAAGACCCTATAATAAAAGGGTTATCTACAAAGTTCTGTTCCGAATTTGCTTGTTTTTTCTCGAAAGCATTTAAAAAATTTTTATAAAATTGCTTACTTCTATTGTTACTATGTTATCACAAAATACACCTGTTCTCTTATCAAAGGCCTCTAAGAGAAATCTTTGTAAAAAGGATCTGTATGCTACAAAAAAAGGCAAAATTGGAAAGCCTGATAGTTCAATCGTTAGAGAGAGTGATTCTATTGCTGAGCAATGGCTCTTCAAGCCTACACTCAGTACTAATGCTAACCAGATCGAAGAAAGAACAAACATATTTTATAATCCTCTAAAGGTATATAACCGTCTTTTATCACTTTTAGTTTTATAGTATAGTTTTCTTTAGGGGTAGTTGTTACCTTTCGAGGCGGACCTAGGATCTGACTATTCCCTCCCTATTATTATTGAGGGTGTGATCGTTGAATCACGATTGTCTTAGCGAGGAGAAGAAGACCGAACGAGCTTCCCATTAACACTGAGCTATGAGACGAAAAATGATTCAAATGTATCCACCTCAAAATTTTATTATTATCCAACTTCATAAAAAGACATTATAAATTATATGATATACCATTTATTAATTTTTTGAATATATATTCTTTAGCACAAAACTCAATCTAAGACCCGCCAGTTAACAGAGAGTAAAACTCATGAATATATTTAATCCTAATGGACATCTGAAGACTTCTTTTCTAGTGATCTTAAACAGGCTAAAATTTTACAACCTTATGTTTTGATAGATCCAAAGTTTACATTTATCAAAAAGTTTTTAGAAAGAAGGCAACAGAGACTATTTACCCCTTCTTTGCTACCTCAAATAATTCAACCGACACCTATCGACAACTCTGAAATACCAATACATTATATGACTCTGCTAGAGTCTGAGATCTTTAATGAAGGCTCTTCAAATTCGACACCTGAACAGTGGAAAGAGTTTGGGTTGTGGCTAATTTTTCAAAGGTTCCCAATTTTAATAGGCAATTTTATCTTCACTGCCGTCACCTCTGGTCTAATATTATACATATATACAAAGAAGCCCAGAAAAAAATACAAAGAGAATATAATATCTCAGAGATATTCAGCCGATCATCAAAAAATAAATTAGATAAGGCAAATGAGATCAC